CTGTGTCATTGCAATTGCATGTAGTGTGGAAAGTAGCAAAATACAGTCAACCGTGTAACTGAGTCAGTTTGCAGATATTTTTTTTTATAATTACGGGTATCAATTAAGTCAATAAATACGGCTAATTTTTTTTTATGTTTTTTGGTCCACATATGGAACAGTAATATGTGAGATAAAATCACGAATGAATAGTAACCCTAAAAATCGCTCTTTTAAGATAGGGTAGATTAAATTGAACAAACTTGATAAATTATAATTTTTAACCAGAAAATAAAGTGAATTCAAGAATTAATAAATTTTAATACACAACCTTGGAAAAACCAAATGTGTCCTCTTCATCAACATATTTCTCGTCATTTTTCTTCAAAATCCTATACATAGAAAAACATGGTAAATAATAATCACACTCTTATAGAGAAGATTATGATTTTCTTTATGTTTTCTATAAAATACTAAGAGCATGTTTGAGCCCAATTTTTTGTCCAAAATGCATTTTGGAATAGTATTTTGATGGAGAATGTGTGGTTATAAAATAAGAATTTTTTTTGGATTTACGTGTAATATTATTTTATTGATTAATGTGTGATTGAAAATAAGAGAGAGTAAAATGTATTTTGAAAATAATGAGAACCAAAACAATTACTTAACGAAAATATGCCAATGAAGTAATTATTTCTAGATTTGCCACTAGATAAAAGGAGTGTGAAAAGAATTGAAGGCAAAAGAGCCCTGTTAAAGCAAGATCGACGCATGGAAGATCTTAGTTTTCAGGTTCTGTAACACAACAAGCTAGAAATATGAAACCTAGAATAACTATGTTAGTTTGGAGATTTCCCTTCCCAGAATAATTAACTACGTTAGTTTTGAGATTTCTCCCAGAATAATTAACTACGTTAGTTTTGAGATTTCCCGGAGGGAACAATGTGATAGGAACGCTGACTACGGTCTGATCACTTGTGTGATTCGTTCATATTCGAAACTAAAGTAGCCATGATTAAAGACCCTTTCTTGATTAATCTTCTTATAACAATATACATTTCAGTAAGCCCAGTGGAATAAACTGTGGACAGCATAACTTATCAGTAATAGTAGGAATATATGATCTCTTATTTCATTAGCTTTATTACTTTAAGACCATATTTATTCTCTTTAACTGTTGATAATGTGTTTTATAATTCTTTGCTTGTTATGTGGATCAAGTCTTAGATTCAGAAAGATTTTAGTTCTCTTATCTGTCGTTTGATTCCGATTCACAAGCATTCTTCTGTCATCGTGAGATAATTACGAGGAGGAAACCTTTTTTTTCACTGAGATGGAAGTTGACCTTTCGATTTTCCGTTCATGTGGTCTGAGCCAGAAAGTTTTTGTTGTTTTTGAGGCGCCAATCGCTGATATGTACAACGAAGAATCTGAATGCTGCTCCATTTTAATTGTCCTCTCTTTGAGCTTTTACGATGGAACTTTTTCACAGCCATTAAGATCCATCAAGTACTTCCCCCACACGCATCGCATCCTCAGATATTTGTTCGTTTCAGAATGTTTCCTATGAAATGCACTATAAAGACTTCTTCATTTCTCCCTATACTCTAGAAAGAAATACTGAGTAGGGATTGACTGAATACTGTGCAGCTTTTTCGACATTGTTGGTTTTATTTGTGGAATTTTGAATGCTCTTAATTAACCTGGAGTTCTGTTGCCTACATTCTGTAATTTGAATTCTACATTTGGTGAATGTTACAATATCTGCTATCTGAACATTCTATACTGTTTTTTTCCTACTACTGAAGTTTTTCTTAGCATAAGCAGTATTTTTATCGATGAAAGTGTATTATGATTGTGTTGCTGATATCTTATGTTGATGCCGAAAGTGACGCCCCCTCTGGTGGATCAGATCACACTCCCACTTGGCGGTTTTCTATTTTTCATTTCAAGTCGAGCATATGTCATGCAAATCTCAATGTTGAGCGTCTGGCTATCTGTAAAGAGAAACGTGTTCCACATTTGATCGATTCTTATATCATTTGGCTCTGCGTTATTTGAAGGGAAGACTTGTTAAAATATGGCATATTATACGCTTTATATCTTTAGCGTGCAACTTAATCAAGTTTTCTAGTCCAGAAGATCTTCGGATGATAAATATTTGAACGCATATAGGTTATTTGTCAACTAATCTACAAACCGAATTAACCATGGATTCGCTAAAGTTTGTGGATTGAAAACAAATTACACAAGTCAACTTCTTACTTTGTGTGGGTCCCACTCATATATAATCATTCATGTAAAAAAACATTTATTTTTTTTATTCGAAATGAACTTTTTATACGATTCAATTATTTATCTACGTATATGTATAATAATAAACATTTATTTATTTATATATACCTTACTATAATTCAATCAATTAATTCTTCAAGTTTACAACACTTTATGTGTTTTGGGGACCATTTAATTACTCTATATGAATGTATAGTAATTAACATTTATTTATAAATATTACATAAAGTCTTCAAGTTCATATATACTTTTATATGTTTGGAGTTATTCAATTATTCTGAAAGTAAATAAATTATTAAAGTTCATGTAATTTGGGGTTATTCAATTACTATATAACTAAGGGCCCGTTTGGTACAGATTTTCATTTTTTACAGTAAATCAATTCTCATTTTCGACAACAAATTCTTCAATAAAATAATATTTTCCATCACATCAAAACTTTTTTCTTCTTTTTCAACCACACATTTCCCATCATATCACTATTCAAAAATCAATTATTCTCCCAAAAATCCCTACCAAACACACTCTGAGTCACAATCCACCATTATGCCATCATCAACGTAAAACTTCAATAAAATAATATTTTCCATCACATCAAAACTTTTTTCTTCTTTTTCAACCATACATTTCCCATTATATCACTATTCAAAAATCAATTTTTCCCCCAAAAATCCCTACCAAACACACTCTAAATAAATTATTCAAATTCATGCACACTTATTTATTTTTAATATTATTCATTTAAACTATGATATAACAACACTCTTTGCTCCTATTTGGAGGCTATTAAAATCAAATTTTTAGTAAATTTTAATAAAAATTGATGAAATATGTGGTTGAAAAGTTGTGAGACCAATGAAATATATGGTTAAAATTACTTGTTGACTTTAACTTGATTTAATTTTTAATTCGTACCAAACAAAGGCAAATGTCTAAATGTATCTAAATTATTATTTTTCTATATCTATTAATTTAAATTAATTAAATTTCATGTTAGTTCACGTACACACCATTATATTATACGCTTTATATCTTTAGCGCGCAACTTCTTTGATGCCTAATCAAGTTTTCTAGTCCAGAGGATCTTCGGATGATAAATATTTGAATGCATATAGGTTATTTGTCAACTAATCTACAAACCGAATAAACCATGGATTCGCTAAAGTTTGTGGATTGAAAACAAATTACACAAGTCAACTTCTTCCTTTGTGTGGGTCCCACTCATATATAATCATTCTTTCATCCCAAATTGGCTTATTGCTTACATTAATTATTCCACCTTGTTTAAACTAGTCACGTGTGAACGTGCGTTGCTCGTTGTTATAAAAGTAATATTTAAATATACGTGAATATAAAAAAACATTTTTTTTTTAAATTTGAAATGAACTTTTTATACGATTCAATTATTTATCTACGTATATGTATAATAATAAACATTTATTTATTTATATATACCTTACTCTAATTCAATCAATTAATTCTTCAAGTTTACAACACTTTATGTGTTTTGGGGACCATTTAATTACTCTATATGAATGTATAGTAATTAACATTTATTTATAAATATTACATAAAGTCTTCAAGTTCATGTATACTTTTATATGTTTGGAGTTATTCAATTATTCTGAAAGTAAATAAATTATTAAAGTTCATGTAATTTGGGGTTATTCAATTACTATATAACTAAATAAATTATTCAAATTCATGCACACTTATTTATTTTTAATATTATTCATTTAAACTATGATATAACAACACTCTTTGCTCCTGTTTGGAGACTATTAAAATCAAATTTTTAGTAAATTTGAATAAAAATTGATGAAATGTGTGGTTAAAAAGTTGTAAGATCAATGAAATATGTGGTTAAAATTACTTGTTGACTTTAACTTGATTTAATTTTTAATTCGTACCAAACAAGGGCAAATGTCTAAATGTATCTAAATTATTATTTTTCCGTATCTATTAATTTAAATTAATTAAATTCCATGTTAGTTCACGTACACACCATTCCTCTAAATGTATATAAATTATTCTTTTTTATATTCANTTTATTCATTGATTCAAATTAATTAAATTTCATGTTCATTAATCAATTTAACTGTTCTCATGCAATTCAATTATTGATTTAACTGTTCTCATGTTTAATAATTAATATTCAATTAAATATATATTGAAAAACGAAAAGAAAGATGTTATTGAAATAATTAAATTATAGTAGGGTAAGAATCGTTCAAAAAATGATTTTTACTTAATATATATATTTAATATATTATAGATTAGCAACAATTTTGAAATTCCGGTTCACCAAGACCACAAACCGGTCACACCGACATATGCTCCTGTTTGATCCACATTATTTTTTCATTCACATTCTTCTACTCATTTTCAACCACACATTTTTCAATAAAATAATATTTTCCATCATATCAATAATTTTTTCATTTTTTTCAACCACATATTTTTCAACACATCATTTCAAAAAAGATGCATTCTTTCATTTTAACGTGCAAACGAACAAGTTGGGTTTTCGTATACGCTCAGTCACCATCAACATATACATACATGCATACTTACACTTGGACACCTTCCCATTCATCAGCATCATCATCAATTGACAGAGAAAAGACAGATAAGTTGCGGGGATATATAGGGTTTCTTATTCATCGAATCGGCGAAATTTAATCCAGGGTTTCGTATCTACGCGAACCCTAAAAGCCCCAATCTCCATGGACTCATCGTTTGGCATTTCCTTCAACATCTTTGAAATCTACCTCCAGTATTGCGGTACTCTGTCAATTTCTCTGTTGTTTATTTAAATTTAAGTAATCGATTTTTTGTTGGATGTATGCGGATTGTATTCTATGGAATTATTACTACACGTTTTTTGAAAATTGTGGGAGGAACATTTTTAATGTTTCTAGTATGGATTTTTCGCGTAGTTCTTGGACGGTTTTAGGCGAAAGAGAATAAAATAAATTATTAAGACTGGTGGAATTCTATAGTTACCGCATTAAGATTCTTTTTTTTGTAGAAATTTTTATTTATAAAGTTGGCTTTTTCTGAAATTTGAAGTGTGATACGTGGCTTAGTTAGTTAATCTAGACGTGCTATTGTGGAAGTGTGAATTATTGAATAATTGCTGTCCATGAATTATAAACTTTTGAACAGTTCAAGAATAATTTTTATTGATTTCCACCCATTCAACCTGTTTTATTTTTTCGCCCTGTAAAGCGAAGTTGTTGTTTGTTAAGTTTTCGAGAATTTTCTATTTCAGACATTATGTCTGAGGCGCATTCTAGTGTGGTGGAGAGTTACAGTCCAGACGATGAGTCGCAGAAATTAAGCTATTCAAGAGAGGCATTGGCACAGCTATTGACGGTGGTGGAGTCTAGCGCGAATACGGGGTATCTAATTTGCTACAATAATGATTCAAACTATTTTCTTGGATGCTGCTTAGTTTCTAACTATTAAGTTGCAAATGAAGTTTGTAATGTCTTTTTGTGATTGTGCACACGACTCTTGTACTTTTAGAATTTTCTTTTTATTTTTTAGGTTGAGATTGTCATATACATAGAATATTGTTCTATGCCTGAGCTTGTTTTTATCCTCACTTTTTATCAGTTGCAAGCAAGGAAAATATATTTTGAAATTTGATTGAATGTTTGACTATAAACGCTTTCAGAAATGATGAAAGAAGAAAACAAACAAATGTCGTTAAGTGATATTCCTCAGAAGGAAAATAGAAACTTTTACACAAGTATGACATCATAAAATTTGTTGCCGGTTCAAGATGATTACATTAAGGCCCAGATTGAATGTTATTTGGTTTTCTTTCGTTGGAAAACATCAGTCTGTTAACTGATAAGATGCGATGCTATTTTTTTGGTAGTGATGAGAAAAATGTTAGTGTCAGGTTAATGAAAACTGAAAATTATGTTCTATCACAGGGTTTCAATTCTTGAGGAAGCTTACAAGCTGATGTCAAGATTAGACTTGATGGTAAGATAATACCATTGAGTTATTCGTGCCAATTTTGGATTTAAGATTGCTTTTGAATTGTTTTCAAGGCTTTACATGCTTCTTACTTTCTATAGGCAGATTTCTCTGAGTTCTCACGATTCTATGATTTTGTCTTCTTCATATGCCGCGAAAATGGTCAGAAGAGCATCAGTATGTCGATTTTATTCATTTCTATTTCTTCACTCTTATACAGCATTTATCGGAGCATAAATCTGATTCTGACCACCAGTGCTAAACATATTTCAGCTGTAAGCAGGGCTGTTATGGCCTGGAGATTAGTTTTAGCTGGAAGGTTTCGACTGCTTAATCAATGGTGCAACTTTGTTGAGGTAATTTCAATTTGGTATTTTATTGGTTGCTATCAGGGATCCATCATTGACATTTTTTCTATGCTTTTCTCCTACGAAGATGACTACCGATTTAAAGAAAGAAAAAGCAATATATAAATGACAATTAAGTTAATTAGGCATGTTACAATTTTTAAAAAGGCATAAATGGGTACTAAGGCATTTTCCTTTCGTGAGGTTTTGCAGTAATTCTTTTTCTTTTGTTAAAAAATTAAAATTCTTGTTTTTGTCAAAAGCTTGGCGTGCAACAATCAGCTGTTAAAATAATCTTCAGCTTCAAAAGGTGTTAACTACATACGCACACATTGGTGAAGAAGATTAAAAGCCCAACTGACTATTCATATTAGTTTTACTAAAGAACACATGCACTTAAAGAAGCGTTTGAAGGCATTATTAAAAGGAAAAAATCGATAGAAATTAAAAAACGAAAAAGGTAGCAACAGAAGAAAAAGAAGCAAAAAAAAAAAAAAAGGAAAATNAAAAAGGTAGCAACAGAAGAAAAAGAAAAAAAAAAAAAAAAAAAAAGGAAAATTTGATGTTGGAGCTGCTGTGAGCTTCAAGTATCTCTGTAGATTCTGCTGCCTTTGCTTTTATTTGTCTTGGGAATTGGTGGCTGGTGCAGACATGGAGGGAAAAAAGAATTGCAGAAGTTTTTTTTCTTTTGTCCTTCTTGGTTGGAGTGTTGATTTATTATAATACTACATTAGAATTAGGTGGTGGGACCACTTACAATACAACTTTCTGTGCTTTTAATACCCCTAATAGGAACGCACGTGCTCACCCACGTTGAGGCATGCGTCTCATTTGATTAGCATGTGCGCCTTCCCAAAATGCACTGAAAGCGCCTCAAGGCAGATTTCTTGCACCTCAAATGGAGGCACATTTCAACGCTGCCATTTAAAACCGTGGTCTCTTTACACATCTCAATTAGGACTGCAAAAATCCATGAACAGGGGCCTTCTCATCATTACATAGAAGTTTAGATTCCATGGAGTTCAGCTTTAGAATCTTATTCTGTGATTAAGTTAATTAGGTGTTTCTCTTGACATGACTTAATTAGGACTGCCAAAATCCACGAATTGAGGCTTTCTCATCATTACATAGAAGTTTAGATTTCATGGAGTTCTGTTGTAGAATTTTATTTTCACTCCTCTCTTTCTTTAATAATATATGGGAAGTACAAATCTCGTGTATTGTCTTCTATAGTTTATATGATAGGTTTCGGTGCCTGGTTAAATTCTTCTGTTATTTTACCAGGAATGGAAATCGGTGAAAGCCTGAACGGTAATTTGTTACAGTGATTGACCAGTCTAGCTGCTGCTTTTGTAGTACTATGATGTTTTTTTACCTGGTGTCAAAGATGAAGGGATGGAGCAAGGTTTTTACTCCTACAATTGTCAAATGTCAGATGAAAAAGAGGATAACAGGAAAAATCAAGTTAATCATATGTAAATAAAATTACTCAGTATTGAAGATGTAAAAATATAATATTCAGTTCTATTTTTGTACAATGACCATGTAGAGAGTTTTTCTTTTTTTACTTTCTGAACAACTGGACAGTGAATTGAGTTTGGTCTCTTATATATGTGGTGTAGAACACAATCGAACAAGAACGAGAAAATGATGGGAATTTTAGTAGAGATATTATTTTATTTATTTTACAAATTAAATACTATCTCTCCTAGGATTTCTATCACTATGTTTATTGAATTTTATTGCTGTAGTGTGACATGTTTCAAACTATTGTTGCTCTAGTATGATGATTTGCAAAGTAGTATAAGAATGATATGTTAAGTCATTTCATTTGTTCCTTGCAGTTGTCCTACTTATGCTACAATTCATTTTTCTTAATTGTTCCCAGATTAACCAGCGACATAACATTTCTGAGGATACATGGCGACAAGTTTTAGCCTTCAGTCGCTGTGTGCATGAAAATCTTGAAGGATACGATCCTGAAGGTAATGTTGCTGCCTATTATGAATAATTTACATATGAAAAACGGATTATATGATTTGGAAGAAGCCTTTCTGGAGTCTTCATAGTGCCTCATCCGGAACACTTAAGGATTGCATGGGAGGTTTTTTCACCGATTTTGGCTGGTTTTGTGTGACACCATTTATGAGGAGTTGGAAAAATCAGTGCTTGCAAGTTTTATTACCCACGGGTTTTGGATGGTTTAAAAATCACCAAAATCGGTGTAGTATAATTTTGACTGATTCTTTTAACCAACCATATTTACTCTTTATAAAATAATTATTTTCTACCAACATATTTTCTTCAAAACTCACTTGTAAATGAAAATATATTAAATAAAAAATTATCTATAAGCAAAAGAAATTACATAATAAACAAAAAAATACTTGTAAGTAAAATATTACTTATAAGATTAGAAAAATCACATTATAATTAAAAAATTACTTATCAGTAAAAAAATCACTTTTATGTAAAAAAAAAATCAAAAAATTCACTACTAATAAGACAAAAACTCACTTAAAATTATTTAAAAGTATCAATTTTACTTATAAGTAAAAAATATTAACTTAAAATTTTAAGTAAATAAATATTTAACTTTATTTAATTTTTAAGTTAAATATTAACTTATATGTAAAAAAATTATCTATAAGTAAAATATCGGACAAAAATTCATATTAAGAAATTATGAACTGAAAATTTTACTAAGCATAGATTGGACAGCTTTAAAAATCGTTACTAAAACCACTCATAAATGTTCAAAACCGGTACTATCAAAAAGACTCATAACCGATACGTTGAAATTCCCAAGCAGGCCATTAGGAAGGGCAATTTATGACCCTACTGATAACGTGCCTACTTATTTCATTGTTACTGAGGTCTTGTGCACAGAACTATTAATTTTGTGCTTGATCAGGGAACAATCAAATGGGTCAATTATGACCCTAGTCATCATGTGCCTTCTTATTTCATTGATAGTAAAGACTTTCAATATGCAGAACATTATTATTTTTATGTTCCAACAGTCAATCCATTTGCATGAAATAGATTTTCTTGTGTGCAGATGGAGGTTTATTATGTGCTTTTTGCCTCTCCTTGGTGTTTTTACCTGCTTTACTCTTTACTGCGAGCTATTTATATTATTTTGACATCTACTCGTGCTTGATGAGTTCTGTGGGCTTGTTATTATTGGGCATGGGCATGGGCGTTGAAAGCTGTGACAGCAGTGTGTAAACAAAAGAGGTTTTAATGTTGCTTCTATCTGTCTTAAGAGTTGAATTTGGAATTTTCTATATTATGTGACAGTTTATGTGAAATATATTTTTTGGTTATCCCAATAACAACATAGCAAAGGAAGGCTCAACTTACTTTCTCCCATGGTGTAAAACAACTGTATACTTATTCTTAAGATTGATTGTTGCTGCTGCCTTAAATTTGAATATGAAGTTATTGGAGTATGCTTGTTGGTGGTACATAGTGGTAATAGAAATGATGGTAGGAAATTGGTCAGTGCTTTATAGGTCCAAGAGTTTCCTGTCATAGTATTCTATGGCCGATAATTGAATTCAAATCAAATTACTAACTGATATGAAGTGTATTTCACGAGTATTTGTGAATGGAATGATTTCCAGATAAATTATTATCTAATTTAGGTGTTCTCTGCAGTGTTTCATATGTCATCTAATCAGTTATTTAAACTTTTTTCAGGAGCTTGGCCGGTCTTAATTGATGACTTCGTTGAGCGCATGTACAGGTAAACCTGTGTCTCTCAGGAAGTTTAATATATGCCTTGTTGTTTCTAATAAAGCTGTGTAATTTGTTTAAGCTAATTTTAGCTGATATATGTTGCTCGAGATCAACTAGAGCAGTAAAATTCTAGCAGCATGAGGCTATTAGTAGTGTAATATATGAAACATCTCATGATATAGTTTCTATCGGAATGAATAATGATTATACAACCAAATGCATTTCACTTGCATACTTTTTACTTGGCCAAGGATAAAATTGAAGGCCATTACTGTTAGTCTTTGCAAATAATACCCATATCATCGCCCATGATGGTGACATCGTTGTTGGTTTTATGGCATTACGTTTCTGAAGACAATGATTACATGTAATTTGCATTTTATTTAGATATTCAGTGGTTGGTTTGTTTGATTTAGATATTCAGTTGATTTATTTTTCTCCCTTGGCTTTCCCTTCTCTTTGTGTCGATATGACTATATATATATCGTGTGATGCAGGATCAGTGGATCGAGTGACTCTCCTAGGTTTTTCTGTAACTGTGGTGACTCAGAAGTCCAGCAATGCGATGGTGCAGGCATGAAAAATTTATACGGTAGTATCTTATAAGTTCTGTTAATTTTATTTAATGTGAATTAACTTTTTGAGAATGGTTGTCCTATATATGTTCATACCATTCCCGTGTTCGGATATAGTTAAGAGGGAATGCACGACTATTTACCAATTCCGACAAACAAACACGCCTTCATAACAATGTATGTTATCACGCAGGGTTGAAACCTTTTCCTGGTTTCAAGAGAAAGTCGAGTAACAACTTGCTGATCGCTCAGGAATTTTCAGACGCGTATGTTAGCCCTAATACCATGTCAAATCCTAAGAGAAAGCACTTTTATACTCCTGAAAAACCCGTTGTCTGGGGAGAGAATCCACTAGGTAATGCAACAGACGATAAGCATAACAGTCCATATGGTTGTACAAAGCCATCTTGTGCAGTTGAAGGCTGCCTTTCCAAGGGTTTTGCTCGACTGTTTTCAAGCGGTTCGTGTCTACAGTTTGACCAGGATAGAAGAGTCTCTTATACATGAGAGAGAGGCAGTGAGTGAGTGTAATGGGTTTGTGAGTTACATAAAATGTATGTTCAACAATTCTTTTTCTTTTTAATGAAATGTGAGGTTGAAAGTCTGCGAGTCTCGTGAAATATGTGACTTGACTTAAATATTTATAGAAACTTTTTTAGCTAAAATAAACACGAGGAAAATATTGACCTGATTTTGGAAATTTGCTCACGGCCCAATTTTTAGGTGCTACTGGGCCGCAGCTACAAGACTTGTTAACCAATAAGCAAAGGACAAATAACCAACATCTTTTATAAATGTGGAAATTATATAGAGCTCTACTTTTCAAGATCCAAGTTCGAAAGTCAGATTTCATATTTTTATTTTCAAAATCAGAGGTTTTATAGATAGATACAGATTTTATATTTAATTAAATATTTAATATTATAAATATTAATTTACACCCCACCCCAACTTAATTCCCTAATTTCTCGACTTAAGTATAATTCCTCTTCCTCACCCCCTGTCTCAGAGAGTCTCTCATAGCTGCCGGCGGTCAGAGTCTCTCATAGCTGTCGGCGTCTTCCCTCCCTTCCTAATTTGCAGCAGCATCGCGAAGGTTCATCGGCGGCGACTGCAGTACTACACGCAACATAGACCCAGCCCATTTGTTGTCGGCCAGGCGACAGCGTTGCAAATCTGCGCCGTCTGCAGCGAGGCATATTCTCCTAACATTTGGCTTTCGAACTCCCATTCACGCCACTCCTCCTCATATAACCGCCGTGAGCTTTTATATGTGTCACTTTATTTACCTAATTTGTGTAATTTGTGTGTGCTGATTTGTGTAATTTGTGTGGTGGTGTTGGAGATCGACGTTGTGTAATTTGGCCACCAATTGCAATTAACGGAACTGCCTTAGTCGCGACTTTGGAGATCAAATTTCGAGGCAATTGAGCAGCAATTGGATCAATTAAATGTCGACCCACCGTTGTTTGAGTGTGAATTTCATTTCCCCCATATGAGTTTGTGATTTTAATGGTGGTGTTTGGGTGGTGGTGCGATAGTTGGTCGGTTTGACGGTGAGGTGGTGCCGGCTTGTAGGCAGCTGAGGAGGTTTTTTTTTTTAATGGTGGTGGTGCGATGCAGGCAATGGTCTGGTGGTTGTGGTGGTGTAGTGGTGTGCGCGTTTGAATCTGTGTTGTGTTTCGTAACCAACTGAGACTGCATAATGGACTAATTGTGACCTTAAAATTCGACTATTTGTGTCTAAATAGTAATCTGAGCCATGTGCAAAAAAAA